ATATAAAACATCACATGCAGTGCGCTTGAGCATAACACGCAATGATAAGACAAAGTTAGACACACTGAAACATAATTGAAATAATAATCTTGATCTTAATCATAGCATGTTGTATCGCATCGAATCCAAAAACGTCTTCATGAAACAAAATAAAGTGAAAAAACAAAAGAGAAATATAAATCAGAGATACGCTGATCAAGTAGTGCAGTGAAAAATGATGTTTGATAATGATAAAACGACCACACTGATCAAACACAACATTCTATCGCTCATCCATTCATCTAAAAACGATTTTATAAACGTATATTTGTTGTATTGTATAATACAAAACGTAACGTAACATCAAATAGCAACAAATCACGATGAAGATAAACGAATGCATTGGAATGCACGGCAGTACTGTGCAAAAGATAGATAAGTACGTAGAATAAGTAATTTGCAGAAAATGATCAAAAAAATTTAAAGACTCGTGACTGAAAAAATGTTGAAAATTATAACCGATAAGCAGGGAAAAATATGTTCGAAGTGAACGAATGGAAAGAAAACCAAATAATGAGAAAAAAGAAACAAGGATAAAATCGAACAGAAAACAGCACATCCAAACCGAACAATAATAACAAGACTAGGGAATTTGTTTGAAAAATATTCGTCGCAATAGAAGAGGGAGAACAGAATCGAAATGAAATAATCGAAAATAAGTGGAAAATTAAACAATATTTAACAAACAATCAACGATGGAGTGAAAAATGAGAATTGAACAAAAAGCGCGCTATAGCTAGTGAGGAAAGAGCTTATTGTAAGTGATATCGAAAAATTACACAGATTTGGCCAAAGGCTGGCCAGATTGGGTCAAATCGATGAACACATCAAGCTGATGCCGCTGATCGACTGTCTGATAGTCACATTCTTATTCGGATTTAGTCACTTATTGCATCCAGAATGGATAGATTTAATAACTAATAAATTGATATCGATTGTGTGTGCACATGAGTGCGTGTGAACGTGTGAATTTCATTTGCGTTCGCAAACTGATAAATTAATGTAATCGCGGATTTTGTGATAATTCCACTCGAATCAACCTCCTCCCCTCCCTTACCCTTACCAAAAAAAAGCAAATTAACGACAAAACTGAGTAAACGACAAAACGAGAAATAGATAGAGCACACAAAACAACCAATCTAAAGAACATTACACAGCAACAGCAGTAGCACGCTAAAAAACGATTAGTTGGTTGGCAATGCAAGGGGAAGGAAGGCAAGCAAGCAAACGAAGAAAAAAGAACGGAACGAGCCAATAGATGCTGAATTGTAGTGACAACAAAGTATAGCCACAAAGCAACTTGGAACAAGAATATTCAAGTGTGGATCGATCAATCGGTTGTTCGCATAGATAACGATGGCCATGAAAGTAGCGATAAAAGAATACGAAAGATGCAAGATGATACGATACGCATTCAATC